CGTGGACTGCTCGTACTGTGTTCACACAGCATTCATCTGGTGAAATCATTTGAATTTTTTTTATTGGGGCAGTTGACATAATTAATAAGTGAATTTTTCTCGGCTTTCTTAGAAGAGCACCCCGTTGCCGAACGAGCAGCCGGCAAAATTTCCCAGCCAGCTCCAAGCGCTCCACAGAGTAGTGTTCCCCCACCCTCCGCTTACATCAACGTCGCCTGCAATCCTGGTTTCCATAGTGATGACGAAGACGGCGTTTTTGAAGATGGCATTTTGTAGGAACATTAAGAATAGAGACCGAGGCTGTTAAAGATCAGATTTTAAATCTTTATGGTTGTGTGTTTTTGAAGATACTGCCTATCATTTTAGGTATTGGTTTGCCAGGTACTGTTATTAAGGCCTAGACTAAAAAAAAGATAGAGAAAAATTAATTCAATATCGAGAGAAATTGCTTTGATTTACTAGCGAGAGTGTTCTCTCCTCCTTTTCAGCCAATCAGATTTAAAAATTTAAGTCTTGGACGCATGCATTTTCCCGCGCTTAAGACGCATGAATGCACGTGGAATTTTCATCGATGATACGATTTTTTTTGGTTTTAATTTAAATACTTAATAAGAAAAACGTGTTCATTTTCCATTGTATAACCACTGCTAGAATTTTGTGAGGATAAAAAATCACCTAAATCGTTGGCTTCTATAGCTGCAACAGATTTTAAACCAACAATAAGTTTGTGCACTTTATTACTATTATTTTGGTCGCTCAGTTGGTATCGCAGATCAATCTGAAAAAGAAAAATCGGGGAAATTAGGTGAGAATTTTGGTTTCCATGTTATCCACTGACCCGCTTCGATTTCCCAATTAATGTTCAGACTTTCTATACGATTTACAATCATTTGGATAGAGATAAGATAGTAAGTTCGCCCACCCTGTCGGATCTGAGGGATTCCGGGATCGAATGGAAACCAGGCTAACCATAAACTTGAGCTCGAGTTTTTCATTCAATGACGAGAAGGTTTTCAACAGTTTTCTTCATTGTTGGGGATTTAGTTAAAAGCCCCATGATTGCTGGTACATTAATTAAAAGTAGACGGTCGAAGTGAATGCGAAATGAGTGCGAGCTGAGTGTTTCTTCGACGCGGGACGTGTGCGTTTCCCACTAATAGTGGAAGATGGGTGTGGCTTTCAGTGCTTCTCTTTAATCGAAAAATTAAATTAAAAAATAGGTTTTTATATGACTAGAGCAGCTTGAGAATTACTTAGTACCATATGGTAAACAATGTTTAGATATACATTTCCCTAAATTCACTTAGATTGCAAAATTGAATTTGCAGTAATAATATGGACTCAACAGAGTGAAGAAAATGTTTATGATGCATTTTGTATAAATTTTATACTTCTATTGCCCCACCCCACCGCTCTCTTTTGTTTTAACCGTCGCTCACCCCCCCCCCCCCCGTACGAATTTCTTTCTTTCCTCAGTCTTCCACCGTAAAAATCAGAGAACCAAGAAAATACTGCGCTCACCCTCGCCAAAAATTAGGCTATAAAGAGCCGTAAAACGTCATCAATTTTATGCATCGTTGCGATATTAATTTAGAGATGGAAAAAGGAATGTTTAGGGTAATTTAACAGATAATCTCTGTCAACGAGATAATGACGCAAACAGTTGTCTTTAATCCCGATAAGAGTAAGCCTTTTACTATGCTGGTAAATGTCTCAAATTTCGCTAACACGGCTTGCAAAGGATCAATGAAGCGCCCGCAAAGGATCAAGAAAAAATTCGCAAACGATACGCTCCCTAAGGCCTAGTTCAAACATCGATCTTTACATGTACCGAACCTAATTGCAATTTGGGTCGACTCGAATAATTAAGAGCGGCAGTTGATTCAAACGTCGATCCGAATTTAGTCGATCCTAATTGCAAAACTGAACATAACTCCATTGTAGTCAGCGGTTAATGCCTACCAAAATGGCGGAAAAAAATGCGGGAAGCACAACTTGTGGAAATGAAGAGCGTTACGTTAGGTTCGGTACATGTAAAGATCGACGTTTGAACTAGGCCTAAGATTGTTTATTGCCATTTGAACGTAATTTACACCTTCCTCAGACAAAGCAGCCAAATCAGCTAAATCAACTTGAATAGCATGTGTTGAATTGAATTAGTTTTCTTCATTGAATTTTGCCTCCATTTCATCGTAAGTTGCCTGAAATATAACAAGTTAATGAGTGATATGGCTAAAACGCGAAAAAAAAATGCATTAAAACTCAGTTCATACAGAAAGATCGTGTTGTTTTCAATCAGAACAAATAGGAGAGGGCAGATCCGGTAAAAATTATATTTTATATTTAGCATGATGCTAATTAATTCCTGAGAAACAGCTGCTAATCCCACTTAAGAAGCCGCCACCCACTACCCCAAGGAACTGCGCGCTTATTAGGAATTCAGCTGTATTTTAATGAGACTGCAGTGTCCGTGCTTACTCTCACGCAGAAATTTTAGAGCAAGTGAATTCTTTGCTGATCTAACTTTGTTGATTCCGAACCATGATCGCTGAAATCATTGGCCTTTTAATCCTTCTTGTGGCTGTTTATATCGCGTCCACAATTTGGCAACTCCGATGTTTTCCACCTGGTCCTTTCCCGCTACCTCTGGTTGGGAATCTTCTTTCGATCGAACAAAACAGACCTTATGCAGCTTTAGCAAACATGGCGAAAAAGTATGGAAAATTGGTCCGAATCCACATGGGGAGAAGAAAAATTATTGTAATCAATAGTTACGAAATTGCAAGAGAAGCGCTTGTCACAAAAGCAGAGGATTTTGCCGGACGACCTCGACATTTCTTCGGTAACATTTTTGGTCGAGATTGTACAGATATTGTGTTCCAAACTTTTAACAAGACATGGAAGAAGCAGCATAAACTTGCTTTATCAGCTCTGCGACTAGCCGAGGCAAAAGCCAACATGACTGATCATGCAGAAAGGTTATGCATCAGATTTCGGTCCTTTGATGGAAAGCCATTTTATCCTCACGATTTAGTTTTCAATTCTTTAGCCAATTGCCTTTCGTCTCTAATTTTTGGCGAAGAACACAAACTTGATGATTGTGAAATAAAAAAGCTTGTGAACGCCACTCATGTTTTTCGTGATTCTCTCGGTGCTGCTAATTTGCTCGACACTTTCCCAGTGTTGAAGTATATTCCATTTAACATCATCAAGAAAGCTAAGCGCACTGGTGAAATCCGCGATGAAATTTTTGAAAGGAAATTTGGGGAACATGTTTCGACCTTTCAAGAGGATAATATCCGTGATTTGATGGATGCCATGCTGAAGGGCTTCCACGAATTGGCCGACGATGGTTTGGTTACAAAGAAGCATGTAATTTCAAGGTAGGATGCATTGTTCTCAACTTCTGTTCAGGTGTTTCTGAGAGGATCATACTAATAGAGTTTTGAATGTAAGGGTGGTAAGCTATTTAGCAATACGGCAAAAAAAAAAAAATATCATTACACAATATAAAGAATTTAGTTGATTCTCTTATGGTCGCGTTTTGCTTTGTTCTTAGTTATCGTTTAGGCGTTTAGAGAATCTAATCACAATAGGATAATATGCTCAGGAATGCGCAATTGTCTTTTGTTACAAAGAAAACAAGTGATTTACATAGTGCGGAGAACTTTGTTGAGTGAAAGTATGAAAGACACAGAAAGAATGTTTTGCCGGCGGCTGTAATTATATAATTTACCTGACTCCTTAGGGACCTCTGACGTAGTCATAACGGCGACCACAAGGAAAGCTTTGATTAGAATTGAATTGAAAGCTGTTTATAGTTTTACGAGTTATTCGAAGAAGACTTAATCGTCTTTATCAATGGCATTAGAACTCCTCTTATGTGTAACGGGTAAAGTCGAGGATGAGTACCAAGAAGAAATGTGAATGATATGCTGTCGAGGTTCTCGTTATCGGACAAAGCAAAATTAGGTGATTTCATGTTCCCTTATAAGATGCATCCAGGAAATCCAGATGATATTCGCTTTTGTCGCCTTCAGCTTTTGCATTTTGGCGTCAAACCTCAAAAAGGTTGATGACGCAATTTGCATTTTCTTTCAATGAGCAAAATTAATACAACAGGCACGCTTCAATGCACTGCTTTACTTCTTTACTTACTGAGTTTCGTAAAAAACGAAAACCAGTGTAATTACAAGGGCCAATCAGAGCCAAGAAAAATATTACAACAAACCAATGAGAACTCCAAGTGAAAGCAAGCAAACAGCCTAAAGGGGGAGGGGGGGGGAGGGGAAACACGAGAATCGTGATTTGTTCCATGATGGTAATTGAACTGAGTGGGGAGCAATTTAGTCTGAAATTATACACGTGATTTGAAATCACAAGTATGACTGCAAGCCATAATTGTACGACACGAAGTTAAATTAGCACTTTATTACAATCATTTTGAAATCACAACATTCAGTTTCTCAGATACAAGATTTTTGAGTCTGCTCAAAAGTTTTAATAATCCAGTAGTGAGCTGCAGGTTTGTTGAAAGTTGCAAAAGTTGCTTTAATTTCATTTTGCTGCAATTTAATTGGTTTCTTCAGACAAGCGATTGATTGTTACATTTTAGTAAAGTTTCATTATTAGCTGGGAAAAAGATGCGATTTAAAACAAAAAATGGTGCGGTTCGTGAATAAATCCACGCCATTGAGAGCCTATTAGATCACAAGGATTGCCAGTAATTTCAAAATGGATGCAATTAAGTTTAGTTTTAATCTGATTGGTGAAGCAGGTTGCGCCAATTTGTGCCGTATCTTGACGGGCCAGCAAGGCGAGTCAAAATACGAAAAAAGAATAAAAATCCTCACCGATACTACACACCAAAACGTCTAGTAAATTATTTATTATCTAACTGCTTTATTTTATGCGCAGCTCTTAAAAAGTTGAAAGGCAAAGCAGATAGAGAAGCGTAGCGCGCAGCTGACCGGTGAGACATAGTTTTGTTACTGTACAAAATAACCAACTTTCCAATATCGCAGGATATCTTTACTCGATTCGCACGCTATTTGAACTCTTCTTAGAGCAGTTGGATAATAATAATAACAATAATCCAATATCAATCTTTGGACGTAATGAAATAACATTTAATTCACTGCTGATTTTTTATTTTGTGCAAACATAACCATGATTTTCATCCTTTACAGCGCATCTGACTTCTTTTTTCCTGGCACTGAAACTTCCTCCAGTGTTATCACGTGGGCCCTATATTACGCCATTAAATACCCGGATGTGCAGGCCAAGCTCCATTGTCAGTTGGATTACGTCATAGGCAGCCCAAATCGCCTGCCGGAAATTTCTGACAAACCAAATTTGCCTTATTTAAATGCATTTATCACCGAGGTTCTCCGTATTGTGAGTGAAACTCCTCTCGCTGTTCCCCACTCAACAACTCGAGACACGTCCCTCGCTGGATTTAAGATCCCTCGGGACACGACTGTGTTTATTAATCTCTGGGCCATACACCATGATCCCGATATCTGGGTCGACCCATTCAGCTTCCGCCCAGAGCGCTTCTTGGACGAAAACGGTCAACTGCACGTGGAAGGCGTCATGTCATTTTCAGCAGGAAAACGGTCATGCACAGGAGAGTCTTTTGCGAGGAAAGCAGTTTTCTTGTATCTTGCCCGATTGTTAAGCAGATTCAGATTTGAGTGCCTCGAGGGAACAACATTACCTAAAGAAGAAGAAAGCGTGTTCGGAATCGTGCTTGATTGTAAGCCCTTCCAGATGCATGCCATACCCAGAGACAAGGACGAAAAGTAACGAGAGAAAAATCAGTTCGAGTCTGAAAGAAAGTGTGTACAGGAATATTATTTCCCTTTCATCCGTTAGTGTTAGAAATTGAGCAGATTTAGCAATCGCGGCAAGAGATCACCAATAAGAACATAGCAATGTACCTTACCCTGGGCACAAGTATTTTTAACAAACCGATAGACAAATAGTTTGCAGTCAGTCGTTGGAGGCAAGCGAAAAATCTTGTGGGTGAAGAATGCCGTTGCCCAGACATTCGCCTATCATCTCTGGTAGGCCATGTCGCTTGATAGCCTTGGCACAAGGCTGGGCACGATTGGGCACAAGCACGTGCTGCGCTAAAACTTGCCTGCACTGTTTAGTTGCGTTATATCTACAGAAAATAACGGTAAACATCAGCTATTTTGTAGCAGGGACGTCACACCTACAGACAATAACTTTAAATGTGTGTTCATATGAAGAAATGACGTCATACCGGCACACACCAGCGTTAAATTTGTACAGTTCATGAGGAAGTGACATGGTACCGACAGGTCATAGTCTTCATATATGAAGTGCGACGTCTCGCATATGCACCCGATATTTATTGTTTTGAAGTGACGTCATAACTAGAGACGGTAGTTTCTGTACATTTCGAAGCGACGACTTAACAAAAAGATTTTATGTTGTAGTGCGTCTGTTAGTAATAGATCACATATGATGTCAAAGTAGGAACAAAAAAAGTGTTACTGATGTTCTTACATCTTCACGTCTTCTTTGATATATTGATGAACAGGCGCAGGGCAACACGAATCTATTTGTTTTTCTGTGACAAAAAATGCAAATTTTGTCAGACGTCATCTATGCATCTAACTGCCAATAGGTTATAAGTAAGAACCAGTAAAAACATAATGCGTGTAGAATTCAGTTTTTCATTGAAATACAGTGTACCTTTAGACAATAGCGTTTAAGCATGCATCGCAAAGAAATCATTTGCAAAGGTACCAGTTGAACTAGTACTCGAACTACCAGTAAAGCTCGGTAGCTTTCTTTGGATCTTTTGGCATATCGATGTGAGACCATGTAATTCTTTCCAACAGTCCCACCTACCATTATCATATGAAACTCCTTGTTAACAAAAGGTTCTATCATATTTCCGACGGCCACGCCCATCAAAAGCTCTCTTACAATAAAATGAAAATTTGGTAGTTTTGTGCTTACTGTGATTTTCATGAAAAATTTCACAACTGGTTACCAACGGTTTATTAAACTTACATGTTTATTGCATCTTAATTGCACTTTTTTAGTTCGAAAAACATAAATTAAGTCATGGTCCTTGGAAGTTTCTTTTATTAAGTCGAGTCAATTTTTAAGAAATCTGAGCGCGAAAATCAGACCTGCCTATGAAGACTGAGGAACAGCTTCTCACTGCATGCCGGGATAGACGTGTTACCGCCAGATTTGAAAACTGTAATAAATTCCCCGCGTTTTGGTGTGTGATTCATAAATATTGATAAACATTTTCTCACGGACCGATGGCCTTCAAGTTTTACCAATATCTGTTTTTACTGCTGCTATTCATTTCCATTGAAAGAAGTGAATCGGCTGGGAACGATTCAGGAGAGCAGGGAAGCAGTTCATCAGGTGATTCTGTTCCTTCGTTCTCGTACGAAATAAACAAGTAAGTATATAAAATAATATTATAACTTTAAATTTTAACACTGTAAAGGGTACCGTCGGAAAAGGTGGTTGAGCTCGGAAAAGGAGTAAATGACATCGAATACAAGCGCCGTAACCGGCTCTAGAAGTAGGAAATACTCTTCCCGTAATGTCGACAATTCTAAAGTAAGATTGTGTTACATGTTTTTTATGTTAGCGGGATTTAAAATAGATTTACCGGTGTTCCATTTTTTTCCTTTAGTTTCCTCATTTACACCATATCGAAGGAGAAAAAGAGTGATGACGGTGAAGGTAACGATTCTCCTATAGCATCTGTCGTGAAGAAAATTTTGGAAGATTCAGGAGCACATAATGTGGAAGTAAACAAACGCATTTTGAACGTTTTTAAGAAAAAGATATCAATCCTCCATACAGCGTTCAAGCGGGCAAGCAAATCAGGAGGAAAAGCCCTGAAGAAATTAGTTAACGGGTGGAAATTTGGACCAAATTATAAATTAAAAGTGTTCTACAACGAAGTTGACGTTTTGAAATTAAAGGGTGATTGCGATCGGCTGAGAGGTGAGAAAAGAGCACTCGAGGAGTGCGTGACTGAGCAAGCAGCTGAACGGATTTGCCTTGAAGAGAAATTGAAAACTGCCCTGGAAAAGTCACAGAAGAAAGACGAAGAGAGCAAGACACGATTTAAACGTTTGGCGAAAAAGGTTGCAGACATGTGCTTGGAAAAAAGGTCAAGAGGCCCAGCAAAGAAAAAATCTTTTCGGCAGTACACCCGACAGCATCAGGCACGTGTCAAAAAATAGTTGAAGGAACAATATCACACAACCCTGTCATTCCTTGGTTTATATAATTGTTGCCACCAAGGTAGATGTCTTCAATGAGGACACTGGTAAGTTAGAGACTTTTAGTCTTCTTGAAGAAGGGGAACTTCCTTTTATTGATAATACAGAAAAGGAAATGACAGACAGAGTTAGATGACCTTAATATGTGGATGTATTTAAAAGACAAATTTAATATCTCCAATGAAGCCTGGCGTGAGTTTTCAGTCAATGCAAAAGATATGCCAAAACTGTCTCAGATAACAAAACGGATAAACGAGTTAAATACTTCATGGAATTTGAGTTGCACTCCGGGTGAAGCAGAAGGTGTTCAAGTGAAATTTGAAGACAGCCTTCGAAAACAGTTAACAAGACTAGACTTGAAAGAGAACACAATTAAGGTAAAGCTCAGTGGGGATGGAACACAAATAGGAAAGAGGTTGAAAATAGTGAACTTTACTTATACTATATTAAATGAGAAAGATTTAGCCATGGGTGAAAAAGGGAATTACATTTTGGCAATAATTGAAACAACTGAAAGCTATGAAAATTTACAAGAGAGTCTCTCTGATCTCAGGAATGAGATGGAATTGCTTAGATAATTACTGTAAATAATTGTAAATATAATATCGAGTATTTCCTTGGTGGAGACTGGAAGTTTCTCGCTTGTGTTTGCAGCCTGGGGGCTGCAAACCAAGACTATGCTTGCATATGGTGTAAGTGCCCCAGGCTACAGAGGTGGGATACAAATAAGCAATGGTCTATAACTGATCTTAGTCTAGGGGCACAAAACCTAGCACAAATAAGTCAGTGTGCAAAATCAAAACAGTTCAATTGCAAAAATAATCCTTTGTTCCCATTTATTCCTCTTGATCATGTAGTCATTGATACTTTACATCTGTTCTTACGAATTTCTGACAATTTAATTGAACTTCTGATCAGACAATTAAGAAGACTAGATAGCATTGAGAAAAAGGTAACATTTACAGATGGATTTCCAAGAGATAAATATAAATATATGGCGGGTTATGAAATGCTCCTTAACAACCTGGGAGTTTCATTTCAGTGGCACATTGGGAAAGAAAGCAAGAAATTAGAGTACAGAGACCTGACTGGTCCTGAGAAGTTGAAATTGTTTCAATATATACAAATGTCAACAATTCTTCCTACTTGTGAAAACAGTGCCCAAATTCAAAAGCTATGGGCTGATTTCATAGATATTATTGGTGATTTAAAGCTTGATTTTCATTCTAATGATGAAGTTATGCATTTCAAAGGCAAGATTGGGGATTGGTTAGGTAACTCTCTTGAGTTATACCAAACTAAGGATGTCACCCCTTACATGCATGCCCTTTATGCCCATGTTCCAGAATTCCTTAATCCATACACAAACATCGCCCACTATACTCAGCAAGGTATGGAGAAATACAACGATAGGGCATCAAAGGATTACTTTTGATCTACCAACCACAGGGGAATTGCTGCACTCAAACAATTATTTCTGAAGAAAAATAGAATACAATATCTAGAGGCAGCTGGGTATTCCAGGGTCAAAAACAGCTACAAGTGTTCCAACTGCTCAAACATTGGGCACACCATTAAGACATGTACATCACATTGTATACATTGCCAGCATCCTACATGCTGCTCACATCTTGTTAAAATTAATGGGAAATGGACCCCAAAATGTATGTAGGGTTCAAGTGACTGGCAAAGCCTTTGTAGCAGTCCTAACAACATAATTTGAACTTATATCCCACTTGTTTCATGTTCATTTTAGAATATATAACAGTGAACCTATACTTCTGCCTCATGAGTAATTTAAGCCTTTGACAAATTATGTCCTTTGAAATTCGCAGTGTAGACTATGCAAACATAAACAATGCAAAATATATTTTGTACATGAGATATTAAAATAAAACTAAAAAGCTCTGCTGATGTACTGTCTCTTGTTACCGTCTCCCCTAACGAAGGTTAAAACTAAAGCATACAAGCCTTCTATCTCTGACCGTACAAATTTCCCTCCGATGTATTTAAACTCCATAATTGGGTTTCTCTTGGACAACCAGTATTTTACTGTTCCATTGACAACATACGCAAAGTCGCCATTTCCATTGAAAATCCTCTCATTCCACCTTAACCCTAGTATATGATCCAATTCAGCATTATCCTTGATTGTATGCACCTTCTTCCCTGTGATCTGAATTCCTTTTACAACCTTACCAAGTCCTCTATCAAAAACATCAGGGTCAACATTAACTTCGATCCTGATGTCAGGATCATCACGCCGCCCTGACCACAGCTTGCGCTTTATTCTTGATAGACATGTCCATGGAAGACGTTCGTCCTGTCCTCAAGAGATATTTCTCCAGGAATATACGTTTTCTCCAGCCGTTCGAATAGAAACATGTTCTCGTCCTGACAGTCACGCCATTCATCAGCTTCTTCACTGTAACCTTTATAGTGAATTTTAACTTTTTTCTTCTGTTTATCGATCGCGACTATTTCGATTTCATAAAGTTTATTATCCTTAGCTGATTTATGCCTCTTTTTCTTCTTGTCTTCAACCGCCAAATATTCGTTTAAAAGCCGTTTTGGAGGTTGCGATATCCGTTTCATTTTTTCCGCCATTTTCAATCATAAGAGCTCGCGCATGCGCTTTGGGCAATTTTACGAAAACCTTCAAGTAAGATTACTCAAATCAAATGTTCCACTCACTGGGGAAAGAGTTTGATATGAGACTATAATGCACATGCTGGGCGGATGCAAAACCACCCTACGGTTCCTTTCATGCTAAGGGCTTTCGCGCAGTATTCATAATTTTCAGCTAGCTTGCTGTGCTCTGAAAAAAAAAACAAAAAAAAGGTATCCGAAAAGCTAACAGTAGTTCGTTTGTATTTAACAAACACAGATGATTAAGAAAGGAGCTAGATACCAAGGTTTTACCAACCTTATTAGTATTAGGACTGTGTGTAAAGACAAGAACTGTTTTCTTAAAAACTGTGTTCTTACTTAACATTGACGAAAAGTGAACCTTGAACTATTAATATGCCATAGGAGTTTCTTAGATTGCAGCATCTCCTATTCCTACTTAACAATTCCTGGATATCTTGTTGAGCAGAGGTCATTTTTTCATGGATGACAATATCCTATAGAAGTCTACAATGATTGTAAATGTAGGACTTACCTCAACAGTCTGAATGCCTTTTTTTATAAGATATCATAAAATAGGATCTCATTGTTATTAACCATTAGCCGTAAAACGGCAAAGAGATAGCCGCTTGACGCTAATTCTAAACGCTAATTCTATCTCTACGCCTCTGCAGACTGTCTACATTTTTCCGGCCTACTTTACTATGCAAGCTCTAAAGAACATGCCTATATGTTCACTATCAATAGATATGGGTGGGTGGCCAGCTGGCTGACCTCAGTTGGGAAATTAAACATTTGCTGTTAGAACACTGCCCAAACAATTTCACGAGACTTTTGAAATGATCAACAGATTAACTAATTATTCAGATAACCTGTATCAACCTGTAACTGCGTTAGCCAAAACAAGAACTTTCGTGTGGGTCCAAATGAAGGTCAGTAGACACATCCACTTGAAAGTTAAAGAAGACTGTCACATTTCAAGGAAACTCATCACGTTAGCTCAAACCCAAAACACTTCAGACTTTCAATTCATAAAGCAATTAGATTCTAAATGTAAACGATTGACTAAATCATACTGAACTGACCAACTAACTGACTCACTGAATTAACTTAAACTTCGTAACAAAATGGCAAAATTTTAACCGACAGTGTCAAATTGAGGTGGGCTTATTATTTATCCGGATACAGATTTGCGTTTCGTTCCAGTTACGGCAATGATCACTCGATTTTAACAAAAGTAACCGTTACTCTTTCGCCATTACATTGCTGAATATTTAACACATACCTGGTTTAAATTGTTGACCCTTTGACTTATACTCAGTCGGGCGCTGAACTGCCAAAGCATGATAGATAAAATGAATTATACTCATCAAAAATAACAAAAAAATGTTAAGTTTTTCATTCTTAACCCAAAAACAGTAGTTAAAATACGCAAAAATTGTCCACATTCAGTTTTTAAAATCAAAGTTATTACTTGTCTGGCCTGCAGATAGCTAGTGCTTTTGTACTCGGTCCAGCATTTCAAATCTTATAAAGTCTGAAATCCTTAAATTACAAGCTTAGTAAAACTACTGCTTTCAAGCGCAACTCTCTTTTGTAGCGTTAAGTTACACTATTGATGTATTGTTGTCCAAGAGCTCCATGAATTCAGAAACCTTTATTTAGCATATCTACAATTCTAGAATCCAAATTCGAAAACAGAAAAACATACAGATGTGATAGTTCAAAAGGTCAATAAATAAAGACAGTATTTACATAGTATAAGAAAAACATATCTTTTTGGGTTGACATGCCCTTTATACGCTGCCGTTTCCGCCCCGACTACAATTTCTCAGCAAGTGCCTATAGACCTTTAAGTCGACTGTCGCGAATGGCTCCCTTGCCTCAAGAAATTCACGTCAATTCACTTATAGTAAAAGATATAGTAAGAACAATATATTTCACAAGAATTTTCTAAGGGCTCCTTTCCAGGAGTTGAGGACTTAGATACAAAAAGTAATACGCAATGATCATAGTAATACGTATGACTTGAGAGAGTGAACTCGGCCGATTTTAGCGTCAACATTTAGAAGGGATATCCAATTCAGTTTTGGCTGAAACCTTATGAAAGATAAAAAATTAACTATCATCACATCACTTTGCTTGTTTCAACTCAATTCAGTTAAGCTGATCACAAATGAAATCAGGTTGAATTATAGGCAGCAACGAAGGTTTAGAAAGAGGGGGTGTACTGAAAGGGCTGTTGTATTCCCTCAGGGAACTATCAAGATGGGTATTTTAGAAGGAGTGACGCTTTGGTGTTAGCACGATTTTTCGGCTCCCTCCTCCTCTGAACCCGATACGTATCTGCTCCTTTTGGAGGAGTCTGATCAGTACCCAAAGCTTTTCGTTTTCCTAACCTCATTGTTGAGGTTGACGTCTGAGATAAGTGTACACTGTGCAGAATGAGCTATTTCACAGCGTCGCTCTGCAAGATACGTAGGTCATAACCCACAGATTGTAGATGGAAAGAATACACCTTAGTTTTTGTTAATTTGATTTTTCTGTATTTAGATAGTCAGTCATTCATATTTAGAAAGCTTCCAGTCCACTTTGCCTTTCAAACCATTTGTGATTCAAACTCAAAATGGCGAATCAAGAACGGTAACATTTCTGGCAAAAATAACTTTTTAATTCCAAGACGCTAATCCATTCCACCACAGGAGTTATTATCTTGTTGACGATATATTTGTAAAGAAGCAAAACACGCGGACGTGATTTTCAGCTGTGACTGGTTTCGGTAACATTTCTGGCAAAGATAACTTTTGAATTCCCAGACGCTAATCCATTGCACAGCGGGGGTTATTATCTTGTTGAAGATATATTTGTGACAAACCAAAACACGTGATTTTCAGCTGTGACTGTTTTCGGTGAATGCTGGATATGATCAGCAAAGCTCGATAAAGGGTGTGGGCCTTAGTTTGTACCAAGAATGTACATGAATGCACTTTCTATCTTTTGTTTTTGTCTTCATTTTTTTTCTTGTTACTACAAATTTTTTAAACACGGTTCAAGTACTGTTCAGTCCCTATGGAGCAATTTACACGCAAACATATCAGACTTCTAAGAATCCAGAATTGGTTAATTTGGGTTATACAAGGGGAGATTATTTTCAAGGTTAATCTCAGTTGATTAAATAATTAGCTGCACACGAGCGCTTTTTAAGACCTATCACAAATCGCTTCTCTTCTTGCTCCGCTGTTTTCGCCCAATTCAAGTCTATAAAACAAGGCAGATGGATAGTTAAATACCCAGCCGAGAACAAATATTCTCGGCTGCTTATCGTCCGTCGTTGAAAAATTGATGAACGCTAATTGAGGAGTTAAGCAGGTTTTTGGGTTCTAAGCAAAAATTACAAAATAAGGAGATTTACAATGTTAACTGTTAGTGGCGAAAATATGAAGAACTTCAGCTGCGATGCCAGATTCTCGGATTCTGACCGAAACTTCCCGCCAAAGAGAGACATCTTGTTTTCAACAGATTCAAAACATGTAATTGCATTCCCTTTCAGGGTTACTGTGGGTCGATTAGATTATTAGTTCCACGTGAGTGTCTTGCAAGACCTGTCATAAACCGCTCCTTTTCTTGCTTCGCTGTCGTCGCCCGATTACATAAAATAAGGCAGATGGATAGTTAAATACTTATAAGCAATTTTGTTGTATTCGAGTATTTTTAATCGTTGTTTGTATTTTGACGCACTCGGCGGGCTTGTAAAAAATACACCACTACTCTAAGAAATACGCAGCGATACTACACAGCAAAACGTCTAGGAAGATGTATTTGACCAACGGGCACAATAGATACCCAGCCGAGAACAAATATTTTCGGCCGGTTATCAATTGCGCCCGTTGTTGAAAAATGGGTCAACGCTAATTTAGGCCTTAAGCAGGTTTTTGGGTTCAAAGCAAGATCTTAGGAAATGAAATGAAAATAGTAGAACTTTTTGCAAAGCTATGAAACTTATAACTGTCGTAGCGTGTAGCATTATGAGATATAATAAACAGAATTACAATGTTAACTGTTAGTTGCGAAACTAGGACCTTCAGCTACGATGCCAGATTCTCGGATCCTGATCAAAGCTTCCCGCCAAGAGAGACATCTTGTTTTCGACAAATTCAAAACATGTAATTACATTCCCTTTATGATTTAGACGCTAGACCTCGTAACCATACCGTGTTGGGCGGAACATAGCTGTTTGAACGCCGGGAACCAGCAGTTGAGCACGCCACACTCGGCGAAAGGCACCAAGGACTCTCGAACTGTCTTTTTATTCTTTCTTTGATTAATCGGTTCTCCAGTTCACATTTTTACTTACATCCAAGTTTACTTCATTCTGTGTAACTCTGGTTAATCTCTTAGGTTCCGACTCTTTAATTCTAACTGAATACTTCTCACTGACACGTGCTGCTAAACGCTCACTTTAACTACGGAATTCTATCTCTACACTTCTGCACATTGTCTACTTAACAAATAGATTCTAAGTTGCCGTGCGTCTGTTCAGTAATAGATCACAGATGACGTCAAAACGTGGTAAGAACAAAAAGTGGCACACGAGGCGCAGCCGAATGTGTCACTGATGTTCTTACCGCATTTTGACGTCCTCTGTGATCTATTACTGAACAGACGCACGGCAACTTGGAATCTATTTGTTTTATATAATAAAGAATTAAAAAAAGTTTTAACGATGATGTCATCTATACGTCTGTCCTCCAATAGATCATAAGTGAGAACCAATCACAATGCGTGCATGACTGAGCTTATTAAAATAATAGAATATAAATTCTACTATTCTACGCTACTAAGCAAGCGCTTAAGAACTACTGCTCTGATAGGTAAGTTCTGTAGTACACAATGCTTATATATATTTACCATTGATAGATATGTGTGAGCATGCCAGCTGGCTGACCTTAGGAAACTAAACCTTTTGTGGTTTGAACACT